GTGTGTGTGTGTGTGTGTGTGTGTGTGTGTGTGTGTGTGTGTGTGGGCCTTGATCCCCGAGCTGTGTTGTCTTTTAGATAATTATTGGGAGTAGTAGTAGATCGCATGGCTGCCATGTTGCTCCGGGCGGTCTGCACTCTTTCCTGTCCGGCGACATGAGTTGCAGCAGCCAGACAAAGTGGTGGGAGATCTTGAGCCCCCTGTTTACTGCTGGGGCCCCAGTTTCTGTTGTAATCAGAAGACGCATCAAATAGTTCTGACCAGACAAAGACACACAGAGAGTCCTTCGTGTATTTAGCTGTTCATCAGATGTGTTGTCCCTTTGTAAGGTTTTTCACATCTCTTAGCCCGTGCAAAAGAACTAATTTCAAAAATGTATCTCACTGGAAAAACCTTCAAAAAGCAAAACATCAAAGTCGAGGAGTAAACAAGTGAACTGTGTCAATACTATTTAACCTCAATATGGTCTGTCCAGCTTGTTCCAAACCAAAACTCCCTTTATACTTTGAGTATGACGCATTAAAAGTGACAGGGACCCTGCATCTAAAAATACACTTTCCTTGTATAATTGTGGAAATGAGTATCCTGCTGCTGTACCTATTGACTGCAATGACCACCTGTATTCAAGCATCCAACGATACTGAGAACGAACAAGGTTGCTGCATTACTAATCTGAGATGAAAGTAAACAAAAATACCCCCAGTAATTTGTGGAGCTCTTTGAAAGGGTTTCGCACTGCAGCAGCAGAACATGTTTGACGTCAGGGCAGTTATTTCTGAGTTGTTTACTCTCTAAAGACTAAATTCAGAAAGAGGGTTTTTGTTTGTGTGCAGACATTTAGTCGAGCCATCTAAAGATTTCCCGTCACCCCTTTTTGTGCATCTTTGTTACCGACGCCTGTTAAAGTGCATTTCTAGACTAATAAAGCCGAGTCTATCCATTCTCTCCAGCCCTCCAATCTGCCGTTGGCCCCCCCCCAGTAAGAGCCTCGTGGCGGCTGCGGTACATTGAATTCCCGCTGCGGCCCCTCTTTTGGTTCCCATGTACGAGCTCCCGGAGGAAGCGTGATGGGCTGTGTGCACAACGCCCGGCTCTTGTTCCACGGCAGAGTGGTGCTGAACAGATCGCTGCTCTCACAGTGATGTATGTGTTAAGTTCGGGGACTGCACTTTGTGGCGTGCTGCACAAAAACCCTGCTCATTAGTATGCGGCAGGCACGGAGGAAAAAGATGGGAGGCAGCGATGCCGAGAGAGAGAGGCCCGGAGGACGAGAGCGGTGTAATATTAGACTGGGGGGGGGGGATTGATGAAATCAACTTGATCTATCCATTTTTATTTTGCCACATGAAGTTAGCGAGAGTGTCTGTTTGAACCACATTTCAGCGGGTTGTGTTGCCCTCGGGGTAGGACTGCTTGTTTTACAGATGTTAACTTCGGGTTAATTAATTTCCACTAACTGACGCCATTGTTCTTGCTCTAGCTTTGCTTTGCTCTGGGGTCCTTTTTCAACAATGGAGGGCTTTTATTAGATGACACTTTCTATTAACTGCTCTAAAGTGTGGTTACAAATACACACCATGTTGTTTTTGTATGACTGGTATTTTCAGTACATTTGAAAGTAGCAAACAGCTGCATAAACACAATATCACTTTTCACTTCACTTTTGTTCTTGAAGGCAGACAAGAGAGGCAATGTTAACTAGATGGACGTCTTTACTATTTCAGCAACTTGACATTCATTAAGTAAACAGAATATCGACCAATACGTCACCTTATCTCGTATACAGGTAGGCTAGAGGCGAGGCGACCCATCCGCCAGGACCTCCCCCTCAACCTTTGGTCCCGGCTCTCATTGGCTGTAGTTCCCCGACGTATCCAGATGTGTAGGCTGCCAGATATCTGGAATGCGTCTGAGAGGCAGCCTCGTGGCTCACATCTTTGAACATCTGAGGCTTTTGTCGGGAAGCTCCATAACAGTGAGAGAGAGGGGAGAATCAGGGCTAAAGTCATGGAGTGTGAACTATGCTTGAACCGGCATAGTGCTCCAGTGAGCCAGCATGCACAGGACCAGGACACGAAACCTGCAGCTGTCGTTCATTTCATTATTAACGTCTAAAACAAAAGTTAATGGAATGTTTTTAGTTTTTTCCCCTAATGACGTTAAGCTCTTTTAGTGGATGCACAGCGCAACGTTTAGGGTTTGCAGCGCCTCAGTGTTTTAAGGACTGTGCAGTTCTAATTTGTCTCCATTGTCTTTTAGTTTAAAGATTTACCGGTGCGTTGTATTTAACATCAAACTTCTTAACTTGAGCACACTGGCAGTGTTTCATAGTCCCTCACCTTTTTATTGTTGTTAGGTTCCAAAAAAAAGCCTGTAGTGCAGATTAAAACGGGACTTATTTGAATGGTATTACATGTAAGAGGAATCTGAGCTGCAGGCACATCAGTCACTGTGGACTGACGGAGCCTAAGAAGCCATGCCAAGTTTACACACACACTCGCGTACGTAATCCCTTTGATTGTGTCCTATTTCTCTGTCTCCATCGCCTCAGGTTTCTGTGAATGTGTCCTGCAGTGTGGGGGGATGTTACAGTGACGAAGCCCCGTGAGCCAAGATGTGCACCAGAGGAGCGGCGGCTCTGCTCCTCTTTTAATGCCGCTTTGTGCTTGTGTGCAGACTCTCTCTAACACGGCTGACCTCCAAACTGACGGAATTCAGAAACCCACAGTAGAGTAGATCCAGGATTATCTGAAGTGTGGGCTGGAGTGTAGGAACACGGTGTGAATATTTTTAGAGGGGTTGCATTCAATGCGAGTAAAAATAGGACAAGTTGTGAACAAACTGCAGGCTGCATTGTAGCGTGTCCGATTCTGACGGGAATCTGGATTCTGTTTTTTTAAGGACAAATCGAATGTCTTTTAGAAAACTGCAAAATGTCTGAAATCTATTTTTGGTCGATCTCAAGGTTTAAGAAAGAGTTTGTCGATAATCTGTTCTTGTGACTTTAATCTCCATTTTTAGCAAAATAAGAATAAAGTCAGGCCACCTCAGTGAGAGTTCATCATTTCTTAGTATCACTTCTTTTTAGACCACATAGGATCTTTTTATGTCCTAATTATTTCACATAATGCATATTAAACACACTTTAGTGCCGGTGGAGTTCCAAGATGAGTTTTAATAGAGTAGGGGGGTCTTAAATCAGGAAACAGCCTCTTGAATCCTCCCGCGCTTCACATAATTAATATTTGATTTAGTGTACTTCAAGAAGCCTTTATGGTTATGTGAATTGCTGCTGCAGCTTGTCACATTAGCAAGTTCAAGGGTTTTATTGCAACATTTACGTGTTATGATGGGAGCCGTCCTGGTGATCGTGTTCTGCTACTTTCGCAGCACACTGTTGGTATTTTACTGTTTGATTTTTAGAGGCAGGGTCCCTGTAAATCACGTTTAGTGGTTGCACACGAGCGCTGTACATAGAGAAGAAGTTCACTGTGAAGAGTGTGTAGCGTGAGCCCCGTTAGGAAGTCTGAAGGGACTTCTGGTTTGGAACAACCTGGACAGAAGATGGTGTGACGGTTTGCAGATGTCTGGCACTTTTAAGTTTATTAATACAGTTTACTCGTGTTTGCTGTTTGAGAGATCATGTAACTTTTTTTCCCAGCTATTAAATCAGTGACTCACATAGTTTGACTGTAACTTAGTTGGTTGTCTCTCAACCAAAAGGTCAGGCCCCCTCCAATGATGCTGAGATGGGCAAGGCAATGAGAACACAAACTACTGGAATGTGTTTCCATTTCTTTCTGTCTTTAGTGTTTGCTTTGTCTTTCTTGAGACACATTGGATAATGTTCTCTTTGGGCCTGGGACAGTTAGTTAAATGAAATGAAAAATATCTTATAATGAGTAACTATAGCTGTCAAATAGATCTAGAGGAGGAACATGTTCAACACTTCCCTCTGGGATGCGGCGTAGTCGTATAAGGTAGTTTTAAAATGAAGATACTCTAATAAAATACCTTTTTTAAAAGTGAGGTAGGAGTAGATACTGCTACGCTGTATTGGGAGGTCCTTTTCTATTTAAAACACACTGTTCATGTTGTATCAAAGTGCTCTGTAGGATAAGGGTCAAAAGCAATTAAAATGGAAAGAATATCCATAATTCAGCTATCTGGAGTGTGACGACACCTGTACAGCAGGTTCTCTCTAATCGCTCCATATTTCATTGAGGAAAACACCCCGTCAGAAGTGACATGACGTACGACCATGTCTCTTTTCACCTCAACCTTGTGCCTCTCGCGCTCTCATCCCCACTAATGCCTCTGTCTCCTGTCTCCTTTCCTCGCTCTCTTCCCCTCTAGTTTGACAAAGCATATGCCTACAGCGTGCGCCACATGTTTGGCAAAGAAGGCAAGCGAACAGACTACACCCCCTACAGTTGCATGAAGGTGATTTTATCAAACCCACCCAGCCAAGGCGACCATCATGGTGAGTTGATGACTGTCGGAAGAAGCCATTACCCGTGTGATGAGCCACTCAGCTGCCATTATCAGGCTTTCTACTTCAAGTACTTTGCCTGGAAACTGACACAACTGATAGTGGAGATTGCATGCGAGGCTCTAAATGCTGATATTTTAATGACAGACTATTTCAGTCCCCCCCCCCCAAATCAGTGAAACAAGTAATGTGCCATGTTAACTGTTAATCTATGTGTTGATTCATTGTAATACATTTAAACTTTGTGTTTCTAGGCTGTCCTTTCCGTCACAGTGACCCAGAACTGCTGAAGCAGAAGCTTCAGGTCTACAAAGTGTCTCCCAGTGGGATCAGTCAGGTGGGTGCAGTCCTGTCTAGGGTGGGCCTCAGACGGCCCTCTAGCCTCCGCTATCTGCTTCTAACGGGGGACATTTCTCCTCTTATCGCATGTATGTTTGTAAAAAAATGTTTATCCTAAAGCATTTATTAGTTTCTGATATATCTTCCCACAGTAGAGGTTTATTTCTGCATGAGCTGCAATGTAAAGACTGTTCTAGAATGATCTAGGGTCTTGTGGATGTTCGGCATGCTGTTTCTCTAATCCCCTGAGAACCTTCCAGTCCAGAATAAACCCCACTAATTGGAGAGGAAGTACTTGGTGAAGGGAGGTACCACACCAGTGAGTGAAAAATATCACACTGGTGTGGTACTTTTCTCCTTTTGCATTAGAGGAAAAATAACTCAAATCACAACACAGCTAGTGTTTACTCGTTTTAATGTGAGTTTTGTGTGCATCTTTTGCTAAATGTTCCTGGTATTCCAGTAAACAAAATAATAAAAACTGCATCATTTTGGCATAAAGTAAGAAGCGCTCATCACTGATCTAAAACCAGCCCCAGTGATGAGCATGCTTGTAGCAGTATCACGCTGCAGGCAGCCTTCAGGGATATAGGGAATAATGAAAGAGCCAAAAACAGRCAGGTTCCACAGAGTCTTTCTTTCTTTCTTTCTTTCTTTCTTTCTTTCTTTCTTTCTTTCTTTCTTTCTTTCTTTCTTTCTTTCTTTCTTTCTTTCTTTCTTTCTTTCTTTCTGAGTGCTGGAGACCTTTGGATTGATATTTTAGCAGTGAGTTGCCCTGAATATGCCGTCGTCAACACTCCAGTGCTTTTAGTGTAGTACCAGATTGTGAGAGGTCTTATGTGAAGGCTTCAACATATCTTTTCAGCTTTGCAGAGCTTAAGAAAACCAGAAAGGAAAAAAAATAGGAAATCCCAAAAATTGTACGAGATGTACGATGAGGTGTAATCGCTGCCAACGGTGATTCTACAAAGAGTTGAATCAGGGCATGAATATTAAAGTAGCCCAAATAAGCCTGTGATTTGTTTTCTTTGCAAAGATCTCTTGACATCATCGTGTGTAAATGTACTGTGTCGGTATCTACGGTTTAACAGTTTGGGGAAAGAAAATAGTCCCTTACACACTGTAAGCCAGTTCCTTCATTCTTTCAACTGTCGACCTTTTTTTTTTTGTCTCAGATCCTGGAGCTGGTTAAAGGGATGCACTTTCAGCTGGCGTGCCAGAAGTACTTTGAGCTGACGCACAACGTAAGTGCAGATTTGATTAGAAGCCGGGTGTAACTGGGGCTACCTTTTGTCAGAGACGGGGGTTTGGTCCTCAGGAGAGACCCAGAACTGTCATCAGCTGGCTGTCAGAGCCACTTAATTTTCATAGGTTTATTATAGCGTTCAGATCTTTTTAGTCCCCCATGGACACTTGTTTAATTTAATCTGTTTTAGTTTGGATGCTTGAGTCATCATCCCTTTCAGTCACACTCAAGGTCCTCGTTTTTAGAGAAAACTCAAAGCATTCTTACTTGTGACTTTAAACGCAAGACATGTTTCAGGTGTTGGGTCGTTTCCTATAAATTCGCTAATTTGGCCATGAAAGCCTGCTGTCCTCATCATTGTTAATAAATTAGCAAACCATTCCACATCATCCCCAATGAAGCAGATGTTACACGACCATCTCATAACATCGAATCAATCAATCAATATGCCACCAACCTGCCTCTACTGACGTCCATTCTCCTTTCCCCTTGTCCTTCCTCTCCTGTGTTTTCTTTACTTCCTTGAGCAGATTGAGGAAGCCAGTTTCTCGCTCAATCACCCCAACCAGTACTTTATAGAGAGTCAGAAAGCTTTGGGAGGAGGCAAGGACGTCAAGCGAGAGACGGACACTCCTCATAAGTCGCAGGAAAATCCGGCCTCCAAAGGATCCGGTGCTACTGGAGAGTCGGCAGCAAACACCTCGCAGGGTTTGGCTGAGATGACGGAGGAACTGGACTCCTACTTCCAAGATGCCTGATTTTCCTTTTGTGTGTTTTTATCTGGTTTTTTTTTTAGGTGTGGTACATAATCTAGCTGTACATGACATGTACATGTCATTCCTCTATATTCTCAACATAGCAGACTTTAAGTTGACCTTGACTGGACCTAATAAAACTTCAACGTCGGACCAAAGCAGAGCTTTGTTTATTCCGTTATGTCGGTGACGCAGCGTCATTCATTTTTCTGTTTAAGCACACTGTTAAACGTTATCTCTGTATTTCCGTCTTTTTTCCCACACTGGTCTGAACTCTGATGGCTTCTATCCAGTCTCAGTGCTCAGTGTTTTGGCAGGAATGTGGTTGTCGGGGGGGGGGGGGTTGATGACTAGAACATTACCCAGCTGTCTCAGAAACAATGTCATTGTATTTGCTGGCAGGAGGATGGATGAATTGTGGCAGTAGGATGGATGCAAATAAACTATTTCCCCATTTGTATTATGCCGCCTTGGAATGTTTCCTCATCGTGCACAATGCAGTTTATTCATACATGGTCCGCAGATATTTCCTCCTCCTCTCGAACTTCTGTTTGCAATCATTTGTGAACATTTTTGCACCAGTGTGGCAACACGGGCTGCTCTTTAGGAGGTCTCCACTCTTACTGTATGTGTTGTCTTTAGATCCAATTAGATGCACTGAACAGGCAGCCCTGAATTACATGAATACAAATGTGTGAATGAAAACCTTTCTGTAATTTAATGATTGTGTCATTTTATCTCTGAGGGTTTTGGAGGTAAGAGAAAGAAAAATCACAGCACTTGCGCACATTTGTTCTGCAGGCTTTCCTGCTAGAAGACTTCATCACGCTTGTAACATCGGAGCACTAAAACACACGGCCTGCCCCAGAGCTGCACATAGCTGGAATTAAATTAGGTCTTAAAATCCAGGCATGGAGCTCGACACAGAGAGGATTTATCCAGTATAATAAGGCAACTGGATAACGGTGCGCAGCCAGGCTGCTGTCAGCAAGACACCCTCGATGTTTGATATTCGGTTGTGCATGACTACGTTTGACAAAGCTGGGCGCTGTCTTAGATTGTGGGCAGGCAGTTGACTGGGACAGTGTTTATCTCCTCTGAATGGATTTACAATCATTAGTCATCAACTTGCTCACTCTCTCGTAGTGCGATTTGTTTTCTTCCAGGGCTCATTACATGGGCGAGAGGTGTGCTGGGGGTGGTGCATTAACCGAAAGGGCAAGGTGCGACATTTGTTCCATGAGCCTGGTATGGAAGCTGACATACAGGGAGCATCTGTATGCAGAGGTGTGCCCTGTAGCTGGAGTGAAGCTTCGTGAATGTGTTTCAATTTGAAGCTGGTAAATCCTGCAAAACATACCATGCTCAAGTAAAATCAATTCAAATATAAAAGAAAGAAAGCAGAACTTCAGGTATACTATAGGAACGTAACAACAGGAAGTGTGAATTTGTGATAGCTGCGACCATTCACACACACGCACAATGTCACAAACATTTGATCTCTTTAGTAAAATGAGAAATATACTTGGCTTGGACCATTAATTGCGCCCACAACAAACAGTAATAAAAGGGGTGGGGCTAATGTGTCTTCAATGAAAAATAACTGACATTTCATGACATGACCGTAGCACCACTGCTGTATTTTTGACAGCACAGGCCTCAGGGCCAATGCCTTCAGGATGGGTTCAGTCCGGTTCATCCTCAAGATGGAGACACAGCCTGTCTGCACCTGGAAGGCTGAGGTTAGGCTGTTGGATGCTGGAGGAAGGCAGACAATTACTCCTCCATGCAAATGAATACAGACAGCTGGAATCAACTTAAAAACTATCCAGACATTGTAGTAGCCATTATAAACGTCGATGTTCCCTGGAACACAACTTTTGATCAGAGAACAGCAACGGTTAGACATCATGTATGGTTATGGCTGTGTATACAATGCGACTCTAGACCACTGCGTTTTTGTCCTGGAGTGTGTTGTGGAGACTTTGTTGCACGCTCATTTAACTAGCGTTAGTTGCTTGGTGTTTGAATCGCTCCTGTTTAAATGAGTGAACTATGGCTCTAATTGCTTGATTAGAAACGTGTGAAATGAATGAGGATTCACTCTGACCGGTTTGTTTGGAAAGTGTCCTGCATGTGATGGTTTATTTTAAGCAGCAGGTTGACTTCCTGATTTTGCATGCAAGCACTTCGGTTAGCTAACCTCCACTCGGCCCTCTTTAATTGCTGCAAACCCTCTCTGACTTTAGGCAATGTTAATCTTTTGAATAAAATATTCAAGTCTCACTTTTTATTGTCACATCCCACGGCACAGCATATAAAAGGCAGGTTTATGTTTGATGTTCGTCTAGAAGGGCTTGAAGCCTGGAACCCAATATGGCTGCGGCCAACAGTAAACGTGCAGTTTGCAGTAAGCTCTTCCTGTGCGTTTACACTTACACCCTTGACCTGTATGTGGAAGAAAGAGAGCTACAGAGATGCTGGTCGCAGCTAAAAGGATCACCTGCTTTGTGAAGTGAAAATGCACCAAAACAAATCAAAAGTTTATTTGCCAGCATCTGCGTTTTTGCATTAGTGTAACGCTAAGGAGACTAGGCTAAGGAACCATGACCATGCTCAACCCTATTTGAAGCCTTCAGCCATTATTCAAAACATGAATTTGCATGTACAACGTTTACAAGGATGAGGTTCCTCAACTGATGCACAAATGCACCTTTCATTGCTGATCATGAGTAGGAACATTTGATGTAGAGAGCTCTTTAACATTGTCCTCTGTTGGTGTGTTGGCGTGGTTAGATATTTTGTCATCTCTGCTGTTGGTGGTCAAAGTGTCTCCCTCTCACTCGTGCACAGTTGTGAGAGTGTGGTTCAGTGTGATACATCTATGGTATGTTTGGATTGCGTCCTCAAATTGCCTCAAAGTGACGGATATTGTGTGACCCCACCAAATATTTCATACCAAAACCGCCACTGTTTGCCAGCAGTATTGAGCACTCACCATTGACTCCATTGTACATTTCTATTCACAGCATGATGTTTGTCTTTGTCCTCTTCCTAATATAATTTCACCCGGGGGACCACGGTTTGATTTGTTGTTCAAAGTGCCTCACCACCAGAAGCAGCTCTGGTTAATTTGGGGATTTGTGCGCATTTTGTTTTCCTGCTTACATTTAGGGATCAGATAACATCCCATAACGCACACTTGTACATCTCGCCCCCCAGCTTTATACAAACGAGAGCAATTTATTTGATAAACGTCTCTTTCTTCATTTCAGATCTCATAAAACGTTGTGCAGTCATGATGGAGTATTAACTTTTCAGCGGGAGGAAGAGCAGATTATTTCGGGTCTTTAGTGGATTCTTGTCAAATTAGCTGCACTGCAGACAAACTTTATCCTCACTGCGGCAGAGTCCCTGGCACAGGGACACATTTTCTTTTCAATGTGTTAAAATTGTTGAGTAGATCTGCAGCACAGCCTGATGGAGGTTAAACTAGTAACAACATCTGGAAGTAACAACGGCTTGATGTTGTACTTGTTGCCTAGATTTTTGTGTTAAAGAAATACATATAATGGGTCTAAAGTGTCATCCCTTGAAACAAAAGCTAATTTCAGGTGTAAATATGGAGGTGACCAAAGGCATCAAAGTGAAGATGTGAATGTTAGGGGTTTCATATTTAGAACGTTAATTATCGTCATATATTTAAGGTGTTTCTTCCTGGCGTTTTGAGGAATAAGCGTAAAAGTGCAAACAACCGAAACACTGACCAAACTTTAAACAACTACCCAGAATGAAAATGTTAACTACACTATCCAAGATTCAAGTCATTCTGTTTTATTTAGGTTTTATTTATGTGATTCACTGTCAAAAGCGATTGTATTTAAAGATAATGGCAAAGGGGGCGACATTCAGCTCCTTCTCCAGATTCACACAAATGTCACCCACGAGTCCCATTGGGGTGCATTAAACACACAGTGCTCGGATGTTTACTTTGCTGCCAAAGGAAGCAGGGCAGAAACTATTTACCGAGAAAAACAACAACAGCCTGGGGATTGTGTTTGGAATAGTTATGTGAAATTAACAATTTGGCTCTGTCTAATGCAGTACATGACCAATCAGATAAGTCTTTTTCACTTTTGCTATTTCAGCTTCCTGAGCACTCGTATGACTCACTAGAAATTGTGACATTTGTAAACCAAATTGGCAGATTACTGTGCAAAGGTGGAGCTGAGAGTGGAATAACGATGTTGTGGCAAGTTGCAAGACCAAATTATAGTTTCTCTTTATTTCTCTTTGTTTCCACGATTAAGATCCGTGATTACCGTTTATATGTAATTTCCTCTTTATAATTACATTAAACCAAAGCAACATGATGGCGTTTCATTTCGTCACAAACACCTGAAGTTCATCACTTCAAAGCTTCTAGATGCATTAAGAAAGTGAACACGGTGGTTGGTGCTGCACTTACTTTCTTTCATTAATTATCTGACTAATACACCATAATTGTCTTCTATATGCATGGCTTGTTAGTGTATAAAGTGAACCAAATGAAAAGTCATGCATTCACTTCACCTGCTTGTTCTTTGCCATCTTCACTGATGGCTGGATTTTATACCCGGCAAACACAGAAGGCAAAATTTCCTTCTCTTTGACTTGCATGGTGATGTGATGTGGAGGAAAAACCAACACAAACAGAAAGTGAACATGCAAACTCTCCATGTGGCTGGGAAGTGATTTTTTGTTCTTGCTGGGAGGAGGCAACATTGATGCTGCTTTTAGCCTGAAATATAAATTTAACAGTCATTACAAATAGGGGTTTTCATAGAAACCGTCTGAGCCCGTGCCCTTCCTAAAAGGATGCACCTGTTGGCTTCATTCCATTGGGCTAAATCTGGAGATCCACAAGGGTCCATTACTGTCTCCTGATGACGTTTGGTATTGATTGTAACAGCAGATGGAAGCATCTTGTGCACTCCTATCCGCGTTTTGTCTGATTTATGTGAAACCTGGCAGCTTTTACGAGTGTGATGTCACTTTCCGTGTTGTCCGACATTTATCACAAAGTCCTCTCTCCAAACACAAAGTTAGCCAGTAGATGTGACAACCCTGTCGGTTGTAAAAAAAAAATTGGAGGCGAACTTCCTGCAGCTGGATGTAAAGTCATCATTATTCTTCCGGGCGTTGTCTCATTAACCTGACAGATGTGTGAGCCGCTGCTCATGTGATTAACTTCGCTCACAGACTGTATACTCTCTCTGAGCTTCACCTGCAGCCGGGCGGTTGCTCCGTACATGTTACACTCGGTGTTGGACAAAAACTGTGGAAGAGGAGAATTATAGTTGCTAAAAACAACCCTGCCTTGCTTTGGTAAACAGGTTTTAATCACTGCGTCGCAAACATGCAAGTTGTTTTTTACCCTTCTTCACATTGTTGTGAATCAATTTGCTTACTGAACACTGACCATCTATTTGATCCCGTATAAGAAGGAAGCTTTTCATCTTACTCTCTGCAGTTATTTTTACCCCCGAGTTATTTTAGCTTTGATGACAGAATTTAAT